GTCCGCCGCGCCGCCGCCGCCGCCGGCGTCCGATGGGCGCTCGCCGCCGAGCTTTGCCCCCTAGGAGGAGAAGAAGAAAAATAAAAAATCTATCTGCATAATTGCACGGGAGAACGAGGAGAAGGAAAAAGAAGACAAAAAAAGGCAACCGCCGCGGCTGCCACGCCAGTCCCGTTCAAAAATAAAGCACCAAACCCTCACAAGGTGTAGGAGAGAGCTTTTATTGCACCAACTTAAACGCGAGCAAGAATTTACAGCCAGAATTACACGTTCTTCATCAGCCCAACATGCACCAGAGGCAGAGGCACAGGCAGCAAATTTGTGTATTTCCTGGGTCTGCAGGAGCGGAGATGGTTTTGGTGGAAGAAGCGGGTGGAAGCGAGGACAGACCCTCTTTCCCCCCAAACAGCCTCAGGTTGTGGCTTAGGTAAAAACAAAAATCATAAAAAAAATGCAACCAAAAATCTCTCCAGTGCCTCATTTTGCTCCATCTTTAAGTCCAGTCCAGGATCAATTCTCTCCCTTACATCCCCAGTCATAAATAAACAGCTTCCAGCTAAATCTTTTAAAGGTTAGAAGGAACAAAAATAGAAATAATAATCAAGGGCTTTTTTTCTTCTCCTTCTGCTTGTTGGACAGCGCTTTTTGGTCAGTCTAGCCTTGCATTTAGGGATGCTACTTGCATTTGAATAGCTGCCTGGCTGGTTATGGATCGGGAGGCTACGAGAGGAATCAGTATGCAAATTGTTTCGGTTGCAATCGAAGGGTTCGATCTGGAGAAGGTGCCTGAGCGGAAGTCGCTGTCAGCAGCACTGCATTAGGCTGCCATTGCCCCCCCCGGGTGGGCCTGCTCTCCCTTTCCCTCGCCTTTTTTATGCTTGTGTACAGGTTTCTCCGGTGGTAATTAAAACACACACACAAATCGGGGGCTGCTGCATATCACACCGGTGCCTTTTGCAGGCGGTGGGCTCGGGGAAAAGGGGAGCGGAGCGAAGAGCTCGCTATGCTGCCGGGGTTGTTGTTATGCAGCAAGGGAGAGGCGATCAGTGAAATAAAACATTTATAAATGGTTTCGTGCTTACAGTATGAGAGGTGGGCCGGGGGGGCCGCCTGGGCGCCGATCACACAGCGCAGGCTGCAAATCGATAACCCTTTCCTTGTAATCCCAGTAATTGTGGGAATCACGGCTCTCTTTTAAAGGGACAGCGGGCTGCAGCGGGGCGCGCGTGGGGCCGTGCGCGG